TACTACCTTCCACACCTACCCGTATTTGTCTTAGAAGATCATCACAATAATCCTAACAGTACATACTAGAATACACATACATCCTATTCTCATTCCATAGAGAATACACATACATTCGTTAACTGGTTGGCTTCTTACACATAACCCATCCATGCAACTTCCGATACTTACTAAAAAGCACATCATAAGCACTATATACTCCCTAGGGTACCCTAAGATCAACACCTCACCCTACCATCAACAACTAAATGATCCCCTTTTGTGCCAGTTAACTACTACATGAATACAATCACGTGCAACTTAACTTAAATAATCTTAGACTAAAAGATTCAACCCTACCATGGTTGGACTTAGATAAGAGTTGCGCAATAGGACCAAATCCTTTATTATAAAATTATTTAACCTATATAACATCTAACTTAACGCATTCAATTAATAGTTAATTCACACTCGAATGAGTCCTACAACAATAAGCAAGAAAACTTTGTAGGAAATAAGGCATCATACATCAGGAAATTCTAATATGCTATTCCTAAAGATCCCTATCCTACAACTAGCATATTTCTCTAACATATAATAACAAATAACAATGTGGGTAACTTGGGGTATACTTTCTTTCTTTGGATGATTGTGAAAGATCTAGTATGCTCAAGAGTCATATTAAAATGTTATTGCTAAATAACATATGATCCTAAGGGCCACACTAACAACAACGTGATACAATTGATTATTTATTAGAACTTGATTTTAATAAATATTCATAAACTCTTATAATAAATTGTGAAAATATTTATTTCAACAAAATAATTATTTTACAATATGAGTAACATATTATTTCATAATCTATGAATTAATAAGTCATGTATAACATTTTGGACTAATTGAGTCTTTTGTCTTTCACCTAAAGACAATTTATATTTTATAAACTTTGTGTTTATAAAATTTAAACATTTTCTCTTCTTTGAAGTGGCATGGCCGAAACTACTGTAGACTAATGTAGGTTATGGCCTTTTGCATTTGTTTAATAAAAGAATGCAAGCTAGAAGAAACACAATCATGACATAGGGACATGCTTGAAAGATCTAATGGGTATTGACTCATCTTTATGGCTATATAAACAATGCACTCTTGCAACCTTTCTTCTTGCACCATTATTGCTTAAAACTATGAGCATCTCTTCCCTTCTTCATCTTCTCTCTAAATTCTTGTACTTTGAAGATATAAGTTGCTTCTATCCTCTCTTTAAATCATAAACTTGTTTTTTGACTTAAAGCTTAAGAGTTGTAACTAGCATTACATCAAGTGGTACTTTGTTGGTGTCTCAAGGGTTCATCCTCACTCCAAAAAATTTCAAGCCTTGGCTAGATGACTCAAAATGCTTCAAAGGTTGTTAACACATCTTCCTTCTATGGTTATGTTTTAAATCTTTCTTTCACCCGCAAGATTATCCTTGGTGGGTGATAAAATGTTTATGTTATTTTAAAAAACTCAAGTCTTCCGTTTGCTATTATTTGTAGTTTTTGAAACTAAGTTTTAGAATAGAACCCAACAGATCGTACACATTGTATCATTCCTTGGTTATTTTAAAAACAATTTTGAAAACCACTTAAAAACTTTGGTAGATTCCTAGTTAGAGTTTGGATTGACATGAATGTTCATCCAATTCTCAAAAACCAAGGCTTTTATACCAACTTGTAACACTCCAAAAATCAAAGAAATTTAAAATTTTGAAAATCAACCATTAACCAACATGGTTTATAAAAAGATTCATTGTTTCAAAAGCATTATTTCAAAATCAGAGTTTTCCCAAGACCCAGTGACATAAAACAGGAAGATGTGCACGACCACAACTTTGCATTCCCACAATCCTCAGAAGTACCTAAACAATAAGCTAAAAACCGTAAGCACATAACTAAAAAAAATATAATCTTACATATCTACTAAACAACTAGAAACTGACATAATAATATCCAAACCATGATAAGTAATCTAGTAGGTCGGCATTTGTGCCTTCGACCGATGGGTACGGTCAGGAAATCTCACGTCTCAGTCTTAATACAAACTGAATAAATCTTAGATTCTGAAAATTAAACCAAGTACATATTCTTAGTTAACAGTTCAAAATACCCTTAGGCCAAACTTGGCCAAAATCTGGTCAAATTTCAAGGTCAACTAGTCAAATCAATCAACTCAACTGAGTACGTAGGGCGTACTCAGCTTGTACGCTAGAGTTACACAAGCCTTGACTAGGATCTAAGCGGTTGACCCCATACGAGCGGTGTACGCTGAGTTACACACGACATATTCACTGAGGCTTGTTTTCTATAATAATAGCCTAATATGTTAAGCTCTTATGTTCCAATTATAGATCCAAGGCCAAAATACCACTAAGATTCGTAAAGTCCAAATTTATGACTTTTCATGCCCATTAAGTGTTTAATACTAACAATCTTAACTTCTTGACCTCTAAAGACCCTGTATAGCATGTATGGGTAAGCACTAGGCATCAAAATCTCATTTTTATGACACAATACCCTTCATTGGATCTTAAAGGATAACTTATTTTGCTGAGAGCATGTCATGCTCAAGAATCACAAAGGTTGGGACCAAAAATGCCCTAAATGAAGGAATATCTAGATCTATAAGATGATCAAGCTAGGAGCTTTTTACCTCCTGAAGGTTGCTAGCAAGGTGAAAATTCGATATCTAAGCTTCCTTGAAGCTCCAATGTCCTTCTACCACCTTCTTCTTCTTCTTCAAGAACACCACTAAAAGACACAAATGAGCTCAAGGTGCACTCCTCACACATAGGGTTAGGTAGAGGGATGATTTTTAGGTGGAGGCTGATGAGGGTGAAGGTCTTGAGGCCATAAAGGGGATTATATAAGTTGTAAACCCTCAAAATTGGGATTTTGATCTAAACAATATACGCGTGGCGTACCTGTTGAGTACGTCCAACGTATGCATGTGAATCTCGCTTTTCTCAGGCATGTGTACGCCATGTGTACACTCCGAGTACGCACGGAGTACGGACCAGAAATACAAACTTAGAAAATTTTAGGGTTAAAAATGAACGTTCTCGGGACAGGTGTTACATATCTCTTTAAGTGTTAGTCGGTTTACTAGATTGAGCAGTGCAAGGTGTAAGAGTGTTGATGTGCTTCTTCCGCTCTTTGGTTTAGGTGAGTTTTTCACTATGCCATGTATCTAATTATATATCCTTTGCATGGTAGGATAAAGGTACTGTTAGAGTACAAGTATGCTGGTTAACTAGGATAATTCCCTTTTATGCATGTGTAGTTTTGGTGTCTTGGTATGCTAGACTGGTAGGGTATTACCCGTCGATTGTATGATATTATTAGGTGTTATGTTTGTTTAGGGTAACTAAGGTAGGCCAATTATAAGGATTATATATGATTGACCTTCAAAGGACTTAATTGAGAAGTGGTCAATGGCAGGGTAACTAGGGAAGGCTAGTTGCTAAGGGTCTAGATATTCTAGTATCTATTATTTCTTTATATTAGATGATTATGTGGTAATATTAGCATTGGTTATATGTAGTCTAGGTTGGATAACCTGAGAACTCTTAGTGTAATGCCTTATTATGATTTTCTTATCTAATCGTTCGCTCTCGGGTGGATCATATGTTTGACTGTCTATCTAATCTTTGACTTTTCATGAGATTATTGGTATGAAAGAACATGATTTGGACCTCGGAACATATATGTAAGAGTAGGATATGGCCCCTGGCATTACAAGGAAAGATCATGGGAGGACGATTACATCCATATGAAAGACCAGGATTTGGGTCTTGGCACTTGTATGTAAGACCAAAATGTGGCCACTGACATTATAGGGAAAGACCATGGGAGGGCCATGACAACCGTACGAAAGACTATTGGAGGAACAGAGTATTTACATGTTCTTTACTGATATGTATTTTGTATGTATGTTGATAGATCGACGTTGGAGACGAGGACTTTGTATGGATGCATTGTATGTATGATGGAATATGTGGTATATTGAGGAACTCACTAAGATTTATTCTTACAGTTATGGAATATACAGTTTGCAGGTCATTCGTGAGAAGAGCTCAGTGGGACTATACACACGCATCAAAGATATTCGTTTCTGTGGTTTTGTAAATTTAACTCTGATAATGTATTATTTTCAATCAATCAAATGTTATTCGATGGTTTTTAAATCAAGGGTTTAATTGGTTAATCTATTTTAAAAATGAAAAATATCTTTGTAATTTTCCAGACACTCAGAGCCTTGGTTTGAGTGATTCAGGCACACCTTGCAGTGTGTTTGAACTCAAACTAAGGACGAAGAAATTTTCTAACTAAGTTTTGTAACGGGAATTCTTTTATTCCAGAAAATGATTTTCTAAAGATGTTTTATAACAATTAGAGCATACGAGGAGTACATTTGGCCAGACCTCAGGAAGTAAGTAATTCCTAATATACCCATATATTGTTGTATTTGTGATATTACTTGTTATGCATGCTAGAATGTAGGATGCATATCTGCTTAGGAATTTCATGATAGAATTTATAGAAATCTATCATGCCATATAGCCTAGGGAATCGTGTTTTATGTGCAACTTAAATTCTAGATTGATAATGTTAATTGCTAGGTGTATGTTTTAGAGTTATACACCATCGAAATTTCTAGCAATAACGGGAGCAAATGGGAAGGGAAGAATCCTAAAGGGAGAGTCTAGGAACTGTAGTATTGTGTATATAGCTATACATAGGCATGCATGTGAGGTGTTTAGAGGAGTGTTGTGAAGTTACTTGGGAGTCTTGGAATAGTCTTTAGAACAAGTATGGATATATGTGGAAGTTAGTATTGGGCCCATATTACTGAAAGCACAAGATCCATACTTTAGTCAGGGGGTGTTTCAGGAATACGAAGGAACGTATAGGTGGTTATGTATAGTATGGTTTTGCACTGTGAATTTTTTTTATGTGTCCCCGTTAACTTTCAGATTCAAGATGGAAACCTTTATTGTTGGAGAATCAAGCCTAAGTGAAAGGGATGTCTGCGACATCATAGCTAAAGAGATTTCGAGATTCATGAGAGAAGATATGCCTCGTTTGATCAGCTTTGTCATGGAGGAGATGATTTCCATGATATATGAGCGCCTTAGGGTTCTTCAGGCTGATTTGGAGGCCGGTCGACTCATGACTCAGAAGGTTTTCTTTAGGGAGTTGGATACTTGTGGAGCTCCTTGTTTCTTTGAGGGAAAGGATCATATCATTAATATGCGTTGCATTATCGACATGGAGAGCACCTTTTGTGTTAACTTCTATCCGGAGGAGGCCAATGTTAGATTTGCGACATGTATTCTGTGTGACAGAGCTAGGGAATCGTGGTGCGAGGTTGTCCAGAATCTCGAACTAGGAGAAGTTGAGTCTATGACATACGAATATTTTGTCACAAAATTCAAAAGAGAATTTGTGCTGTCCATTAAGGTTCAACAGTTGACTCAAGAGAATCTAGCACTCTAGCTGTAACGACCTGAGAATCCTTCCATAAACAATGTTAGATTTCCGTTTCCCGAGGATCAATTGTAATAAAAACTATTTTGACTTTGAGTGTATTAAAATGAAAAAATAATAAAAAAAAGGTGTTATTTAATATCTATATGAACTAACCATGATATAAGAGGGTTATAATCCAATTATATGGGTTACAGGATTTATAAGGTTGATATGTGCATAATTAGTTAATTATTTAGCATATATTCTTAGTTATTTTTGATTAATTATGTGAATAATGTGGACAAAAGGTACTTAAAATGTTGTGAATTTTGTTTTCAGTCCAAAAGATATGCTTGGAAGTAAAAGGGAGAAAAGGGAAGCAATTGAAGATCAAAGAGTGAAAGAAGGTGATCTACACTCGGCGAGTAGATCGACCCTACTCGGCGAGTACACGAGGATGTTCCAGAAGATAAATGCGACTGCTGATTCAAGATGGATAAGTATGGACCTACTCGGAAAGTTGGTTCTGCTACTCGCCGAGTACACCCTGTTTTGGGATATCTATAAAAGACGAATCCTTATCTAAGGGGATGGCACTCCTGGCAAATTTTTGAAGGTTTAGCTGCGACTAAGAGCCCCAGAAGACGCGAAGGAACCCTAAGCTTCAATATTTGGAAGAATTCAAGCAATTAGGTTAATTCTACCACTTAGACTTAGGAATTGAATATGTTTGCTTTAGTAAACTTTGTTTTTATGTTTGTTTCTGCTGCAATTATGAGCTAAATTCGTTTTTGTTTCTATTTGGGGAATACCAAAGAACTCCTATGGTTTGATTATTGATTTTTGCTTAATTGTCTATTGGTGATTTATTAAATTAAGTTTGTTAAAGAACCTTATGTATTAATCACTACTATTTTCTGTTAATGGGAAGGCAATTAGGTTGCATGAACATCTCTTAATTGTTAACCTCATATGTCTATGTGAATACTAAACCATATGCTTAGAAGTAATGATTATGAAACTAAGATTAATAAGAAAATACGAAGATTAATGTGTGAGCTTGTTTGAGAAACCATCAACAAGAGGTTAATTGAATTAATAACTTAATTGACCATTACAAATCTTATTTAATCCAAATAATTAATGTAGGAATTAATTAGTTTAAACACTTGATCAACGCTTAAATTAGTTAATTGTCTAAGGGTTAGGAGTAATTAACATGAACCTAACTATTATAATTGGTAACCAATAGCAATTAATCTACCATAAACTTAAATAACCATAGGAGTGAATTGGTTGAACCTAAATGGAAACATCTTTATCAAATTTGGTGAATAGTTGTTGCTTTAGTTAATTAGTTAATTTAGTGTGTCTAAGTTTCTAGTCTTGCAAAACTAGAGAAAAACCCTTTACTTTTATTATTTGTTTTAGTTAAAATTAGTTATTAGTTTAATTTCCTGTTCCCTGAGTTCGATACCTTACTTATCAATCCATACCACTAAAATATAGGTTCATTGCCTTTGTGTGTTCAATTTATTAATAAAAAGTAGGGATAAAACTAGTTGGTTTTACACACATCAAGTTCTTGGCGCCGTTGCCGGGGAACGGTTCTAAATAATTAAGCTAATTCCTAATTTTTTCGATCCTTTGTGTGAGTTTACTTGCATAAAGTTCATTTATTGCAATTTAGTAATTAGTAATTAGGTTTTAGTATCTGTTTTAGTTTAGTTTAAAATTAGAAATTTTTTTGCAATACCACTGATACTCGCCAAGTGCAATCGCACCTACTCGGCGAGTAGCAATTTAGTCAGCAGTAGATTTTTTTTTTTTTTACAATCTTTTTGTTCTTTTTACGCTTTTTATTCTATTGATTTCAGGACTTTCATGACCAGAGGATCAAACACACCACTGGTACCCCCGTTTGAAGACCCCGAATCCGCATTGAAAAGAAACAAAGGAAAGGACGTGGAGAGTTCAAGCACACCAAAGAAATCACCATTGTCCAACTTGAAGACCGTTTTTGGGAAAAAGAAGAGTAGTAAATCAGGAGCTTCTAGCGCTTCTTTGATAATTGAGGAGCCAATTCTAGAAGATATTGGGTACGAGACCGAGGAAGAAGAGGAGGCAACGTACGAGCAAGAAACCGAGTCGGAGGAAGAGTTAGCGTTCACAATGGCTAACATTGATGAAATCCCCATGGGAGAATGGAAGAAGAGGATGCGCAACGACAATGGCCCGGGACTTGTGCAACCCGCAATTCCTGCGACTGCTACCTTCGAGCTAAAAGGTCATATCCTAGCTTCACTCAAGGAAATACCTTTCTATGGGAAAGATCATGAAGATGCCTACAAACATTTGGATGAAGTCAATGATGTAGCTGATTACTTCAATATTCCAAATGTAACCTGCGAAACTCAACTACTTCGTATGCTTCCGGTAACCTTCAAGGGTGCTGCTAAAGACTGGCTCAAGTCACTTCCCCCCGGATCGGTCACTACTTGGGCCAAGATGAAGGAAGAATTCATTGATCACATTTGCCCACCGTCCAAGATAGCCAAACTGAAGAAGGCCATTGCAAACTTTGAACAACAAGCTGGAGAGTCGCTATATGAAGCATGGGAGAGATACAAAAGTCTGCTAAGAAACTGTCCACACCATGATCTTAACAGCCAGCAAGAAGTTTCCATCTTCTATGATGGAGTCAATGTCACAACCCGGCAGTTGCTAGACACGCAAGGCCCACTTACAAAGAAGCCACCCCTGGTGATTAAAGAATTGATTGAAGAATTCTCTAAACACTCTAGAGAATACCACAACCCTATGCATGATGTCACGAGGGGAGCCGCATATGCTGCTACTGAAGACTTATCCGCGGTCATGGCTATGTTAAAAACCATGGATAGGAGAATGGACAAAATGGATCAAACTATCCATGCTATTCGGGTGGGTTGTGAAAACTGCAATGGACCTCACCTCACTAGAGATTGCGATTTGGATGAGAATGGCAACAAGAAGGCGCAAGCGTGTTATTCGAGCGGTGACCGATATGATGAGGACTGGCGCAAACAAAAGAAAGAGTGGCTTCCTTACGAAGAGTACAAGAAGGCCAAGGAGGAGAAGTATAGACAAAAAGGGAGAGGATTTTATCAAAAGGAGGAGCCGATGCAAGAAAGGGAGCGAAGCTTGGAATATATGCTTACTAAATTTGTGGCTGCTTCCGAGAAAAGGCATAGTGACCATGATGCTGCTATCCAAGAAACAAGAACCATGCTCAGGAACCAGCAAGCATCCATCCACAACATAGAAACGCAGCTTGGGCAACTTGCTCAACAACTTAACCAAAGGTCACCGGGTGAACTTCCTAGCAAAACCGAAAACAACCCACGAGGCACACAAATAAACATTGTCACAATGAGAAGTGGGAAGATCATCACTCCCCTGGCCCCCATTCGAACTGAAGCAACCAGGAACTCGCAGAAGGAAGGAACGGAAGAACAAGCAGAAAACCAAGAATCACAATCTGAGAGTTCTACTCACCAAGTAGGGCCGACGGACTCGGCGAGTACCCCATCAAAAACGAATGAACAGCCTCCCTTAAAGCCTTACCAGCCTCTAATGCCATACCCAGCCTGAGCCAAGAAAGAGAAGTAGGAAGAGGAATATCAGAAGTTTCTAGACCACATTAAAACTCTTCAAATCAACATTCCTTTCATTGAAGCCGTCATGCAAATGCCCAAGTATGCAAAGTTCCTTAAGGAACTCCTCACCAATAGAAGAAAGATGGAGGAAGTGCAGAAGGTAGTGCTTAATGAGAACTGCTCCGCCGCAATGCTAAACAAGCTACCAAAGAAGAAGGGTGATCCGGGGAGCTTAACTTTACCTTGCCAATTTGGCAACTTGGCTGCAATTCATGCCTTAGCTGATTCTGGAGCAAGTGTGAACCTTATGCAACTACTCATTCTTTAAGAAGCTAGACCTCCCGGAGCCAAGGCCAATTCGCATGGAAAATTCATCTGGCAAACAAAACTGTCACCTTCCCAAGAGGCATATGTGAAGATTTGCTGGTGAAAGTGGACAAATTTGTCTTTCCGGCTGATTTCATCATTCTAGACATGGAGGCGGATCTGCAAGTGCCAATTATACTTGGAAGGCCTTTCCTCAACACAGCTAGCGCTATCGTAGACATGAGAGATTCTAAGCTCACCTTGCGATTTGGGGACGATTCAGTAACATTCGGGGTAGACCAAGCCATGAAGTACTCTAGGAGTAGTGACGACACGACATTCTCAATCGACATGCTCGACGAACTATTGGAGGAAGACATACCTGAAGATTCCAGCAAGTTTGCAGCTTTAGATGAAGCATTTGACCCAGAAAAGGACTTATTAGAGATTGAAAGACTGTTGGAAGAAGCGGAGTATGAAGAAATAATGAAGCAATCGGACAACCCTACTCGCCGAGTAGAACTGATCTACTCGCCGAGTACATCTGAAGAAAAGGTAGAAGTCGTGAATGCAGCTGCAAACTCGCCGTGTACCACACCTGCACTCGGCGAGTCTGTCACTAAGAACAACCAAGCAGAGCTTAAAATGTTACCTGACCATCTGGAGTATGCCTTTCTGGAAGAAGGAAATCAGAAGCCAGTAATCATAGCCTCATATCTATCCAAGACGGAAAAGGAAGAACTAGTACACGTGTTGAAGAAACGGAAACGAGCCATCGCATGGAGCATCTCCGACATCAAGGGCATAAGCCCATCCTATTTCTCTCACAAAATCAATCTAGAAGAAGGAGCAAGGCCGGTGGTGCAACACCAAAGAAGATTGAACCTGAACATGCAAGAAGTCGTCAAGAAAAGAGGTGGTCAAACTCTTAGATGCAGGAATCATCGACTCCATTTCCGATAGTCCATGGGTGAGTCCGGTCCAAGTGGTGCCCAAGAAAGGAGGAATGATGGTCATCACCAACGAAAAGAATGAGTTAATTTTCGACGCGAACGGTAACTGGTTGGCGAGTGTGCATCGATT